ATCATTAAATTTATACCGTATATAAATATTTTTATATTTGTATAAAAACTTGCTGTGCTTTTTGAGAATAAAATAAACATTTAAAAAAGGATTATTTCTTTTACTGTGAATTTCGTTAGTCAACATTATTATTGAGATTTTATTTACCATTAACATTAAAATAAAACATATTTTTATTTTCTGTATACCACTCATTTATTCCCCAGAATATTCATAATGTGCAGCTGAAAAGCTAATATTTTTCGTTAGCAATCGATAACGATGCAGCTCATTTCGCGGCCGCTGCAACTTTAGCCAAAGTTTCATTAGATGAATGGGGTATATTGGGTTGGGCGTGGAAAAAAACGCTTAGCGAGTTTTGTGGAAGCCGCCAACTGGATGCAAATTTCCATTAGCCATGCAAACGCAAAACTAGCCGCCATTTATCTGTCTAACAGAAACGAGTGGGTGGGAATGGGGGGGAAGGGGGGACTATGTGGGGATGGTAAGGGGATTCCCGGACTGGCAGTAGTTAAAATTTACTGCCCAGTTACCGAACGCAACAGTAGCAGTTGCAAGTCGGCAATATGCATACGCATTTTATGCGATGCAGCAAATGACGCGGGCGGGGGAAAGCCGGAGGAAACTAGGGGAAAACCGGAAAAAGGGGCACAAGAAACCATTGGGGCGGCGGGTCAATTTAATGGAAATTTTTATTGAAAGCCAACAAAGCGCTCAATGGGCCAGCTAATGGCGTTAGTTGGCCCAAATGGGCCAAGTCGCTGGGGGACTGTGAAGTAGCTTAAAAAAAGTTAAATGAAACCAGCTGCCCCACTGTCTACCTCGCTTCCGCTCCCTCCATAGCTCTCTGTATTTATTAATAACGCCTTTTGACTTTTCCTGCCTCCCAGCAAAGTGGCGGACGACCCTTGCTGAAATTTCTTATAAATTTATGGTAAGTGCTTTAGTTTCAAACTAGCTTATGAATAATAAATGTACCATTCGATACGCAATCTGTTAAAAGTTTAATATTCAATAGTTGATTAAGCCTTGCAAATTGAAGAAAAGCTTATGGGATCAAATCAACTTAAGTAACTAATTTTGCATTTCTAAATTTTCATTTTTGAAATGCATATGATATTAATCAGAAAAAGGGAAAATGATTTGAGTTATGAATTATAAATAGCTAATCCTTTTTTAATTCTGCAAAATATTTATTTGGATGAGAAATAAAGTGCATATTTCTTGTAACTTATACATTTATTTTTATGGAATCAAAAATATTCAAAATATTAACACTTATTTCGGTATCAACATTTTATTAACTAAATACTTAATAAAAAATAAGTTCTTCTCTATTCCTTATTTAAAAACCGTAAAATGTTTTTGAAGTTTTTTACGCATACTTGTCTTTTAGTTTTCATCGCTTTACTTACGTTATATTATGTAAAACCATAGTAGATATCCTTTTATTTTATATTTGAGGAATTATTTTTTTTATATTCGAATTTGGAGTACGGTTTCTATTCCCTCCTAATTTTAATTCTTTATAAATTTATTATTTGCGCTTGGCTATTTAGTCTTAAAATTATTTAATTTCATGTCAAAGAATTTTGCATTTGCAATGCATTTTTCATTAATTTGGTTCGCACATTTTTGTTTATTTTTTGTGTTTTATAATCTGCGTTTTAATTTCTCATTATTTTAATGCACATTCTCGGCGTTCTTTTTTTTTTGGCCAGCCTGGCGTATACTTAATAAGCTTGCCTTCGCCTTCATACTCCAACGTCTCTACAACCCTATCTTTCTCCTTTTTATCCGCCTCAGTCTGTTTCAAATGCCGCTCATTGTTGCTGCAGTTTATTAAATATGCTTTTAGTTTCGCAACAGCCACGCCCACTTGGCTGAGTGCGGAGGCAACCGTATGGCAAATACTGCCAAAGGCAGTTTAGTTATTAATTTTTAATGCGTCCGCATTTCGCATAATTACGCCATTGAATGGGGAGAGAAAAAGCTAAAATATTCTTGTGCCCGTTTTTGGCTGTAGCAAGTTATTTATTTGGCCTTTGGCGTCCAAAATTGTGCAAAAATTAAGCGCCAAGTTATTGGCTGCATTCCTTTTTCTGAGCGTTTCCCGGGTCCGCATCTTTTTTCCCCCTCCATTATTTGTGCAAAGCCAGCGGCGTGGATGCGAAAAAGGACTAAAAGCAAATTTTGTTGGTACAAAGTCAAAGGTTTTTAATAATAAAACGAGGGACAATTGGTTGGGGTATGGCAGGGGGTTAAATGGAAAATATTGTGGAATTTGTAGAAAACAAATTTCACCAAAGTTTGATGACATTCTCAACCGTATAATCGAACCGTCACATAAATATTTGGTTTCATACTTTAACAAAGTAAATGATTATTTATAGAATTTATGTAAAAGTGTGTACAAATAAAAAATCAATAAAATTAAATCTAAAGTAAATAACTAAATTAAGGTTTTTAAAAAAAAGAATATATGTGAGCATTGCTTAGAATGTAAGAAAAAAAACCGGTAAAAAAAAAATTTTTGATACAAATTAAAAAAAAATTTTGAAAGTAATTATTAGTGTTAATTTATTAAATGATTTATATTGGCTTACGTGCTTTATTTTTTTTAAATATAAAAATAAAGTTTTTTTACCTAACAGTTTAATTTGGTTTAAGTTTGGAAACAATCCAATCTTGAATTTTTAGGAAAAAAGGGACAACTAAAGTTGTCTAAGCCTTATAATAACAAAAGCAACACAAGAAAACAAAAAAATGGAAACCATTTGCAACGTCTTTCTTTATGCAAAAGGTTTGCTGCCCAACAATGAAACCGAAAAAATCGTATTCTGCCGAAAAAAAAATATTGCACAATTTCCATAAATCGAGCAGCAGCTCTCCCAACTTGCGGCCCACCTCCCCCCACTCTGCCACCCCCCAAAGGCGGTAAATGCAGCAGCAGAATGAGAAGAGAGCAGCGGAGGAGCGAAGGCAAAGCGAAAGCCTCACCAATAACAAAAGGCTGGCAAACTGCTGTTAAACTGTTGTTTAAACGCATTGGCAGTGGGCGAAAGAAATGCTGTGGGTGAGGGGGTGGAGGGGATGGTGGGGATTGACGGGTGGGGAGGGGGTTGAGGGGGCAAAGGGGGTGGTTCCATTGTGCGAACCACAAACTGAACCACACGCACACAGTCTTATATGGATGCGATCTACTGCCGCATGAATGTATTGGTATTGAAAATCCCTTTGATTTTTTGCCGCACCGTTGCAAACAGCAATTTGGCAAATCCTTTCACAATCAAAATCAACCGCAGATGAAATTTTGCCCAGAAAATTCCACAGAAACGGCATCCGCTATTTGTAGTCCAAAAAAAACTTTTTAACTTTTAGCAGAAATTTTCCCGACCGTGTGTGTGTGGGCATGTAATTTGCGTATGCTCAAAAATCATTCGACGGTAAAACGCCAAATTAGCGTTAAGTGTACACTGGCAAAAACAGATAGCAGTATTAAATTATTTTCCTGTTTTCGTTGAACTTTTTTAATTCCCTTATCTGATGAATGAATATTTATATTTTGGGCTCGGCAAAAACGTTACTTAAAATTAAAATTGAACGAAAAATCGGACAACACATCAATATGTGTTGATAATAATTTTATAAAAAAGAAAACAGCCTGTTCCTTGATATTGCCAAGTATAAAAGATTATATTAATCAGATTTCAAAATATTTGCCATTTATTGTCAATTATATTTAAAAGTAATATATATAATTTTGTTAATGATGTGCAAAAGATAATGGAAATTTTGAGACATAAATTGAATATGCTCCAACTTTGTTCGGTGTTTTTAAATATTGCTGGCACACATAAAATAATCTACTATTAACAATTTGTTGTTCATTTTTTTTCCCAGTGAGGTTCTTGTAGAAGTCCTTGTGCTGTCCCCTTTTCAGTTGCCGTTACTGCTGCTGCCGCTGTAATTGTTGTTGCTGTTGCTGTGTGCAGGTGCTTAAGCATTTTACGAGCAACTGTATTCAATTTGACTGCCAGCCTCTCGCTCCGCCAGCACATTACGCATACGCCGTGTGTTAAATGCGCTTAAAAGTCAGGCCAATAAGTTGTTGTTGCCGTTGCTGTTGCTGTTGGTGTTACTGTTGCTGCCGTTCCTGTTGCCGGTAAATTGTAGTTGCTGCCACTGCTGCTGTTTGTGTAATGAAAACTTTTACAACGCCATATGCAGGCTATTAAAAAACAGCTCGCACACACAAACGCAGAAGGGAAAACACACGAGCGCCTTGGAATATGCAATCAAGCTCATTTATACTCATTAAGCGCTTATGTGCAGTGGTATGGGTGGAGCAAGGGAGAGGGAGGCTGAGCGAACGAGAGGGATGCTGCGGACTCACAGGCTTAATAAGGAGACCGGCTGCCGGAGCGGTTTCTTTTGGGCCCCAAAAATTGGCCGGTATCCCTTAATTTGCAGCGGAACAATGCAAAAACTTAAATGAAAACCCCAGACCAATTGTGGTAATTTTCAAAATAAATTAGCCAAACCAGTTTTCCGACTTACATTATGTTCAATACAACATTTTATTGATTTTAAAAAGTATTATTGGAATTTAACCTATTATTTTACGTGTGTTCAATCCATAAATACAAAAAAAAAATTTTTAATAATACAATTATTTAAGTGTCAGCACTAAATTTTAAATAATTAAATCAAAGTTTTAAATGTCATAAAACCAGATTGGTTTATTTAAAATTTACAAACCTTAACTATTTTAAATTAAGACAAGGATCAAAAACAGGAATTCTATAAACTTCACTAATAATTCTTTTGTAATCTAAAAAGAAATATAAATAAACAAAACAAATTAAATTAAAATATAGATACAACATTTTAGAGCTATGAAATATTTTTTTATTTGGCTAAGTCTATTTCTACAAAATATATTGATCGGGCTACGACTCATTTATCACATTTTGACTGTCTTTCGCGGAAAATTTGCATTAAAATCAGTTTTGCCGTAAAATATTTTTTAAAAAAATACGAATTAGGCGGAATTCAGTCTACCGATTCTCGGTCTCTCCCCCACGATTGTGATAGCTGAGAAAGGCATTCTCTGTACATCCGAAGACGAAAGGGCTTACGAATAACAACGCTTAATTTGCCAGAATAGAAAATCGTAGCCCGAACGAATTTAGAAACAATAAAAAGAAGGCATCTATAACTCATAGTCCTCTTCTGATGGAAATTGGAGATACTTGGCCGCTTCTAGCTCCTGCTCCATTTGGATCCGTTGCTCGTCGGTGAAGATAACCTCAGGAGGCTGCAAAGCGGGTTGCCTTACCAATTCCAACTGGGGATCTCCAGTCAGCTCACGCAGAAGATAGACAAAGGGCTTCTCGTAATTATAATTCGACTTGGCCGAGATTTCGATGAAAGGTAGGTTCTTCTTTAGGTGGAAAGTGACCTGTTTGGCCCTCACCTTGCGGTCTCTAACATCCACCTTGTTGCCGCACAGCACCATCGGAATGTTCCCGCAAACTCTCTCCACATCTTGATACCAAAAGGGCACATTATTGTACGTAGTCCGCGAGGTCACATCGAACATTAAAATGGCGCACTGACCCTTTACACAGTACCCTTCACTCAGACCTCCGAACTTCTCCTGACCGGCGGTATCCCAAATATTTATGCGAAACAATCCTCTGGTGGTGTGAAAAAATATTGGATGCACTTCAACGCCCAACGTAGCCTCATATTTCTTCTCAAATTCTCCGGTCAGGTGCCGCTTCACAAAAGTAGTCTTACCAGTTCCTCCGTCTCCAAGAAGAATTAGCTTGAATGCTGCCACCTCGTCCATCATAGTCAGAAAATAGTTTTGTATTCCTTGTACTGTCCCGAGTTACTCTAAAATGTAGCCACAGGTTTGCTACAACTAAAATTCTATAAAGTATATATTGTTTCAATCGGGTGTGTCCCAAAAACTCTAGTTATTTTAAAAGCAACAAAACAAACGGATACTGTCTTCTTCTATAAATCAAAAACAATATTTAAGCCATTTTTAACTTCCTTTAAAAATGTTTTTTTCTTACAAATTTAAATTTCTTTTCTCCTACATTTGGATGATATAAGGCGGTAAACAAGATTGGCGTATCTTTATAATTATCATTAAAATGGCTTATAATTAAAAAAAAATTGTATTTTTTATTTAAAATATTTATCCAAATGCAAGCCAAAATCAATTTAAAATTTACTGAATGAAAATGAATTAAAAATAATTATCTAAATGCAAATCAAAATCAATTTAAATTGACTGAAGAAACTGAGTAGCCTTTTTACTGGGCCTGCCTGCAAGTCTCTGTCATACAAAGAAATTTAGTTTTTAAACATCTAAAATTCAGGTTTTGACGGAAGTCGACGAACTACTTGATTCCTTTCGATTTCTTATAAAATTTTCAATAACCCTGAATAATCAAAATGTCTTTGAATATTTGTAGGAACCTAAACATTGCTTTTGGATGGCTTTTTGGTTGTTTTCAATTTTCACGTCCAAATCATTTATACGCAAATAAAAAGTTATCGATAGTGTAGTTTTTCAAAAATCAGCCCCAATAGTTATAATGTGAATTACTGGAAAAATAGTAATGGTGTGAAGAAATTTTTAAAAAGTTAGATTTTGTGTTACCTTCTAATCTTTTGAAATTACCATAAATAGAGTTATTTGTAATAACTAAATAATTTTCGTCTTGGATCTTTTTGATTATTATTCTAGCATTTGATTTAATTTTATTAAAAACACCATATCCATATTTAAACTATATTTTTTATTTTTACATTTATAAAACGAATAAATAAAATATCTAATACTTATTTTATAAAACTAACTTATTTTAAAAAGAGTAATGTTACATTTTTGAATGAACCTTGATCTACTTCTGAACCGCTCCCGTTTCGAAAGTAGCTATGCGTGTGTCTGCGTTTGTTTTTTGTTACGGTCTATGCTTGCTTCTCAACTTTAGTGCCTACTAATATGTTTCTGATGTCTTCGGCGTGGCTTGATCTTAAACCCTCCCATAAGGGGGAATTCCCTTCGTAATTGACACGGGGAGCGAAGAAGCCTGCAGGCCGAGGGTCAGGAACCGACTTCCCTGCAATGTCTGTATAATATATATGTGTTATGAATATATATATATATTCTGATTACTCCGACCGTGCTACAGCTATAGAGTGCATGAATTTACTACCTCATACTCCTGCACCAACAAGGCAGCTAAGTAATTAACAAATTAAAATATGTGAGTGGGTTTTGGGCAGAAGGCAAATGGTTGGTTGCAAGGCCCCGCAAGCATTGCAAGATGCTGCAAGGGTTATAGGACAAACTATAAAACAGTCAAAAGTAATAAATTGTAAGAAAGATAAAAATTATAGTAAATTACATTTTTGAGACAATGAATTATTACAAATTAAAATTTCAAACACAATACCATGCACTCTCATTTATTATATAATTTATTGTATTAATTAACTTTTACAAATTATCCAAAAACGCAAAATAATTTAAGTTCAAATGCACAGTCATATATTTATTTCTCTTAATATGTGCGACCAAATAACCAAGATAAATTATATAATTTATGAATACCAAAATTCATTTCTATAATTTGACCTCTATTGAGTATTGTTACCCAACATGAATCACTGCCAACGAAGTGCTTAGTAAATTATTTCGATTCCATTAGAGAGCTTCACAAAAAATATATGAATTATTCACTTAATTCCACATTTTGTAGATATAAATCCAATTGGTGGCCAAACGATATCAGCAAATTGATCAACTTAAAGGGCTCCACACACCCTTTGTAAATTTCCGCTCGGCCTCGTCTATGAAACCATTTTCAGAACACATTGCGTGTTGGCCAAAAGCTGTCGCATCAAATGAGCATCATAAATAATTTCATTTTCATTTCGGTTTCAATCCAACCCCAAAAACCCCTTCGACCAAAGATTTTGGGTTTTAAAAGTGACACCCAACCCCCGCCCGAAATCCTTAAACCTGTAATTTACGAGTAGCAACTGTTACACACACAGCTCTACATATACATATATGTATATGTACATTCGCAAACAAAAGGAAATTGCATTCAACAATAGTTACAATTGCTGTGAGGGCCGACAATGCCATAAATCATACGCCCAGTTGTACACGAAAGCATTTGCTGGGGCGTTAATTGTAAATAAATAACATATTAAAATTTCCAGTCAATAGGTTTAAGCCGTAATTAAAAGTAATAATGCGAAGGCGAGTGTTTGTCCTTCGCCGTTTGCCATTTCCATCGTCTTTGCCCATTTTCGTCCTGAACGCCAACAACAGACGGTGCAAAACTTTTGGCCCCGAAAAGGTCAATTAAACTGCATTAAGTTTGATAACTTTCAGTGCCCGAAACAGTTGCGCCGCACAGCCACCCCGAAGGACGTTCGATTGGAATGGGGGAAGTGGAGGTCCTTGGGCATGGGCAACCAGGATCAGCCTTGGCGAGCGGATTATGTAGAAAACAGACATACGAACGAAACAGATTGTGCGGCACGCCACATGCAGCGTCAACAACAAACAACACCTGTTTATGGTTTTTCGTTAGCAGAAATTTTACAACTGCCAGGACGAAAAGGACGAAGCCTGTGATAGAGCACACACACGCACACATCGGGGGAAGTCACGTCTGTATATGTGCGACGGCGAGGCCAAAAGTTTTCGTAGCCAACTAATTTTTCCTGTCAAATGCACAGACGACAACAAGGAACCCCAAATAAAAAAAAGGGAAATAAGCCAGGTCCTATCTGCGATGGCCGACATTTTAAATATCCTCGCTGGCCAAGTGCCTCTCGTAAATCCCAATTAGATACTAAATATTTATTGTTGACTCGCTAATAAAAATTGAATTATTCCACTATTTTATGTCATATCTAGTTATTTGATTACTTTATCATTTAAATTATCTATTCGACTCAAGCAATATAAACTACTTTTTCTAAAATATGTTTAGTGAGTTGAAAACTGTCATTAATTATATTCCTTTTATGTTTTCCGCCACTAACACATCTTATAATTTAGCTATTTTAAAGTCAATTCTTTCTTAGAATTGATGTACCTTACTTAAACGACTAAAATTATATTATATACAAAATCTTCAAAATATCACAAACATGTAGTAAATAGAAAAAGATGATACTAAATTATAAAATTAATACATTATGTACTATTGACATTTAGAAACAGGTTATTTGTAAGGATTGCAAGTTTCCGGTTAAAGTCATAAAACCCTCGGTCAGGGTATGTGGTACCCAAAGGAAGGAACATTATAAAGAGCAGGAAAAGGCTGGATAGCTGGTTGGTTGGCAGGCGACGCGACGTCTTGGCGGTGTGGCAGCTTCAGATTCGGTGGCTGAAGGTGAAATTAAATGTAAGCAGGATAAGGAGGAGGATAACAGGGATGCGATGGGATGCGATGCGATGCGTACTCCCCGGGCGTACTGTATATGCGTGCCCAGGAGGATGTCTGCGCTTCACGCTTGATTATGCGTTTGCATGCACATAAAGGCAAAAGTCAAACACGGGATAAACCTCGACCTTTTTTATTATTATTTTTTTAAACACGGATATTTACATGGTTGACTTTGACGGCAGGTGTCGGCCGGCAGTTGGAGCATTTTGATGGCATTTCGTTCTGCAGATCGACGAGAATAAAAACTGCGTGCGTGCCATAAAAGTTATGGGATTTCCTCGAGGTCGGGGGCGGGGTCAAACTAAGGGGGCGGCTGGGAGGTGGGCATTAAAAACCACAATGTGTGCGTTATTTTGTTACATTTATGCGCAGCCCGTTTTCACTTTTAATTGCTTAGCTGACCTTGCTCGACGAGTGGGTTAATGGGTTAGCCTTTTTGTCGGGGCTATCGTTTTTAATTTATCGAATGGCTGATGGAAGATAATGCATAATTGCATTTTCAATTTGCCAGTTTTATTATTCAGCTAAAGATGCGGGTATTTAAACAGTATAATTAAATGCTGGCATTATTTTGGCAATTAGTGTTTTCGCATAAATGTGACATGTTTTTGGAATGCTTCAATTATTTAAAAATATCTTTTTCGAGAACTTTAAATCTATTGAAGATCAAAATACAGTTGTTGACTTTGATTTTAAATTATGAGAAGTTGTGCCTTATTTTAAAAATTTAAGTTCATAATTTTCTTGTGAAAAATTTAATTTATAAAGTAAAATAACACTACATATTTAACAATTTTCTGAATATTCAAGAGATATAATCTAAAGAGTATTAAAAGCAAAGATCAAATGTAATTTTCGTTTTTCAAACTATAAACTATTATATTTTATTCTCCCCAAACGTTCCTCTTGTCTTTTATTTTGGGCCCTTGACCCTCGAAGCATTTAAAGGTGAGCCGTATCAACAGGCACTCTATGGGCGAAATCTCTTGCCAACGGTTGCCAAGCTCTTATTTTGCTATTATTCCTTTGTTTTCGCCTCGTCTTTCTTTAATTATAAAGCTACACGAAGCCGTCCCACACTCCATTCTATACGTATAAATATATATAGGTTTTTATAGCACTACAGCCAAAAAACCGAAAAAAAACCAGCAGAGAAGTAGAGGGAAAACTCATATTCCCATTGGCATCAAATTGTCTGCACGACAAGGTAACAGAGTATTAAAAATTTCAGCACCAGCAACAGAATTTTCTGACCATCGTTCGTCCGAGATATTTTCCCGGCCCCCTTCCCAAGCTTTCCCCAGAATTTCCCTAGCAACGCAAGCCGCTTAACGCAGCCAACTGCCAAATGTAAATATACTCCAACCCCAAACCGACAAAAAAATATAAAACTTTCTTAATAATACAACGAGCAGAAAAAAAAGGCCCAGAAGGAGGAGGAAACTCGGTCCAAG